AACGTGGAGGTTCTTCTGATTCCGACGAGCGTCCGCCACGATGGAAGACATCAGGAAGGTGTGCTCGTAGCAGCCCTCACCGGGCCTAGCACTCTTCTGGGCACCGCTGATGAGATCGCAGTCCAAAGCCCAACGAGTCAGGCGGTCAGACAGGATCGCCATCAGCAGTTTGTACAGGCACGACTGCAGGGCGATTGGCCGGAAGTTGGCCGGGCATGCCGGGTCCCCCTTCTTGTACAACAGCACCGTAGTAGCCGTCTTCCAAGAGCGGGGGACGCGCCCCTCACGCAGACACCGGTTGAATATCGCCACAGTTACTCGAAACGCACCATCCGCAATCTTGATGTGACGATACTCTAGCCGGTCTTTCCCGGGAGCGGAGTTTGACATCCGACCCAGGCGGGAGGAGACCTCCTTCTGCGTTACGGGGCGTAGCAATTCCGAACCAGACTCCCGGGCCCGGGCAGAGTCTGGGAACAGGAGTTCAGAGTCAACACGGATTCGATCGCAATCCACCGCCCTCTCGGAGTGAACTTCCGTGAAGAAGTCCACCAGTGTTTCCTCCGAGCCGCCATACCTGACTTCAGAGCCGTCCAGGACAACTCGCATCGCCCGCCGCCTACTAGACCTGTAGAGCTTCTGAAGTCGGCTGGCCTCCTGCACGTCAAACTCTGGCCCGAGCATACGACGCCGCCGCACCGCCCGTGTGTCCGCACCACCGCGTTGTTGCGCTGGTCGGGCTTCCGTCCTGCGCTGATTCCTCGAAGAAGCGTAAGCCAGGTCGACCGCATGCTGGGCAAAACGGTCGCACACCGACTCAAACTCCTCAAAGTCATCGGCACGAGACAGCGCCACCAGCCAGGGATTCTCCTCCACCGCGGCCTGGGAGGCCCGAGGTGTCGGCGAAGCCCGACTGGGTAGCGCGGAATCCCTCAGGGTCGCGGTCCGGCCCGTTCCCTCACCCGTGGCGTTATTCGAGCGCCGCACATCAGCCACGGGGTGTTGGTCACGTCCCCGGCACATACCCTCATCCGTGTTACGAGGGCCCCGAGGGACCCCCGCGCATGCATCCACGGAGTGTTGGAGCGCCGGGACACCTTCCTCATCCACGCAACGGGAAACCGAGCATACCTCCGTGGAGTGTTGGGAGATGGCCGAACCTTGATCCC